AGCTTCTCACATTCCCAGACGACTAAGGTGATGATTTTGATTTGAGGGGATTAATCGATTGTTTTAGGGTTTGGAATATGGAAGCAGATTCGTCTCCGTCTCCGATGATAAGACCGATTAACAGAAGCGTGGTTCACAGAATCTGCTCCGGACAAGTAATCTTGGACCTCTCCTCGGCTATCAAGGAGCTTGTGGAGAACAGTCTCGACGCCGGGGCCACCAGTATAGAAATAAACCTCCGTGACTATGGCGAAGAACACTTTCAGGTCATCGACAATGGCTGTGGCATTTCCCCGACCAATTTCAAGGTCTGTTGTTTCCTGAAATCTTCCGTGTGATGATCGTTAAATTGGAGCTGGTTATATTCCGTTTCTGAATCTGGGTATATGTTAAAATCGTTTAATTTTGGATTTTTTCAGGTTCTTGCACTTAAGCATCATACTTCTAAATTGGAGGATTTCACAGATCTTCAGAGTTTGACTACGTTTGGTTTTAGAGGAGAAGCACTGAGCTCTCTCTGTGCATTGGGTACTCTCACGGTGGAGACGAGAACAAAAAACGAGACAGTTGCTACGCTCTTGACCTTTGATCATTCCGGTTTGCTGGTTGCAGAGAAGAAGACTGCACGCCAAATCGGTACCACTGTCACTGTGAGAAACCTGTTTTCTAATTTACCTGTACGAAGCAAAGAGTTTAAACGCAATATACGCAAAGAATATGGGAAGCTTGTTTCTTTATTGAACGTGAGTTTCTTACTCATTACTTTGATATCATTCACACTTGTTTGCTCAGTCCCTGTGATGATCTCAATGACTGATTCAATGTTCTTTGGATTCCCCTGTTGTTTCCTTTGTGCAGGCATATGCACTTATCGCGAAAGGAGTGCGTTTTGTCTGCTCTAACACGGCTGGGAAAAATCCAAAGTCTGTTGTGCTGAACACACAAGGGAGAGGTTCACTTAAAGACAATATCATAACAGTATTTGGCATGAACACCTTCACAAGTCTACAGGCTGTAAGTATATGTATATCAGATGATTGTAGAGTTGAAGGGTTTCTTTCCAAGCCTGGACAAGGTACTGGACGCAATTTGGCAGATCGACAGTATTTCTTTATAAATGGTCGGCCTGTAGATATGCCGAAAGTCAGCAAATTGGTGAATGAGTTATATAAAGATACAAGTTCTCGGAAATATCCAGTTGCCATTCTGGATTTTATTGTGCCGGGTGGAGCATGTGATTTGAATGTCACGCCCGATAAAAGAAAGGTGTTCTTTTCTGACGAGTCTTCTGTTATGGGTTCTCTGAGGGAAGGTCTGAACGAGATCTATTCATCTAGTAATGCCTCGTATATTGTTAATAGGTTCGAGGAGAATTCTGAGCGACCAGGTAAGGCTGGAGTTTTGTTTCTTCAGGGGAAATCAAGTCTCCTGTCAAAAGGGACTGTTCTGGATTTTGATTCTATAACCAGCGATGATGAAGCTATTGAAAAGGAAATTTCTCCCTCGAGGGAGGCTGAGATCAGTAATAGTTCGACAATGGAGAAGTTCAAATTTGACTTTAAGGCATGTGGGACTAAGAAAGGGGAAGGTTCTTTATCAGTCCATGATGAGTCACTATCTGCCACTCACCTTAACAAGACAACTAGCAAAGGTTTGTCTCACATTAATGTGATTGAGAAAGTTACTGATGCAAGTAAAGACTTAAGCAATCGCTCTAGCTTTGGCCAGTCAACTTTGAATACTTTTGTTACTGTGGGAAAAAGAAAACATGAAAACATAAGCACCGTCCTCTCTGAAACACCTGTCCTCAGAAACCAAACTCCTAGTTGTCGTATGGAGAAAAGCAAATTTGAAGTTCGTGCTTTGGCTGCAAGATGCCAGATGGAAGGTGATCAAGATAATGGTTTGGTCGTCTCAAAGGAAGATGTGACGCCAAATGAAATGGATCTTGAACTAGGAAATCGGATTTCTCCTGGAACCCATACTGATAATGCTGAAAAACATGAAAGAGTAAGTAGGCTTTTGTAGTCAAATCTCTTTGTCTTAGTAGGTTGCTGATTGTTTATGTTTAATGTGGCTTTTTCTTTTGTTAGTATATATCTCCTTGAATTACTGTATTCAACTACTATTTCACCTACAGGAACTGGACAAACCATTATGTTTTGAAGAACCAACATCAGATGAAAGACGCACAAAGGAGGATATGGAAAGGAGTTTAGAAGACAATCCATGTTGCAGTCAGCCACTGCGATCTGCTGCCACAGTGCTGGATTCCCCGGCTCAGTCAACCGGTCCAAAAATGTTTTCCACATTAGAATTTAGTTTCCAAAACCTCAGGACAAGGAGGTTAGAAAGGCTGTCGAGATTACAGTCCACAGGTTATGTATCGAAACATATGAACACACCACAGCCTAAAAAGTAAGATTTCTTTCCATCTTCTTTTGTGTGTTCTGTATGCAGTCAGAGAAATGGGAAGCTAAATGATGAGTTACAGATGCTTTGCTGCTGCAACATTAGAGTTATCTCAACCGGATGATGAAGAGCGAAAAGCAAGGGCTCTAGCTGCAGCTACTTCTGAGCTGGAAAGGCTTTTCCGTAAAGAGGATTTCAGGAGAATGCAGGTTTCTATCTTATTAATTAGGCTTTCACCTAGTCAAAATCTCAGCACCGAAAGATCAATTGTTAGTGTTTTTGTTCTGTTCTATCGTGGCTTCTGGCGAGAAAGATTTATCTGTATGTTCTGTGTGGTAGGTGCTTGGGCAGTTCAATCTTGGGTTCATCATTGCGAAATTGGATCGAGATCTGTTCATCGTTGATCAGGTGAGTCTTCCAATGTTTAGTTTGTGGTTGAGTTGTGGAAATGGAAGTTTCCATCATTTCAGAGTTTCTTCCTCTGTGTCTGAATTTGAATAAATGTAGTAAACTGTTGATTCATTTTGATGGCCAGCATGCTGCCGATGAGAAATTCAACTTCGAACATTTAGCAAGGTCAACTGTCTTGAACCAGCAACCCTTACTCCAGTGAGTTGCTTTGTGATCTCAATATATAGGCTGGATTCCATTTCACTTTCAAATGGTTCAATGTTACTTAGAGATACTTGAACCAGTAGTGTCTCTATTCCCCTACTAATTGTGTTACCATATTATCCACCTTTTCCCCAAACCAGGCCTTTGACTTTGGAGCTCTCTGCAGAAGAAGAGTTTACAGTCTTGATGCACATGGATGTAATCAGGTGAAGGATCGCCGTTCATTGAACTTGTAACATTTTCTTATACTTGACATTGGTTTAGAGATCTAATATATTATCTATTAACTTTCTAGGGAGAATGGGTTTCTTCTAGAGGAGAATCCGAGTGCTCCTCCGGGACGACACTTTAGAGTAAGAGCCGTTCCCTATAGCAAGAAAATCACCTTCGGGGTCGAAGGTACCTTTTTCCTTACTTCTGTTGCATCAAATGTTTTCGCACGTGTTCTTGTTAACTTCATTTTTTTGGGGGCAGATCTTAAGGACCTAATCTCAACTCTGGGAGATAACCACGGTGAATGTTCGGTTATCAGTAGCTACAAAAGCAGCAAAACAGATTCGGTTTGTCCATCACGAGTCCGTGCAATGCTAGCATCCCGAGCATGCAGATCGTCTGTGATGATCGGAGATCCGCTCAGAAGAAACGAAATGCAGAAGGTAAACCGATATACAATTTCCCCCACACAAGTGCTCTTTTCACTATTCTTCTACATATGCTAAATGTCTTAATTCATCTTCTGTTTCAAGAACAACAAATCTAATGCTCTTTTTTGTGTTTTTTCGGGTATTGTCAGATAGTAGAACACTTGGCAGATCTCGAATCTCCTTGGAATTGTCCTCACGGACGACCAACGATGCGTCATCTTGTCGACTTGACAAGTTTACTCACGTTACGCGATGACGACAATGATGATAATGATGCAGCCATCTCATTGAGATGAACTCGAGAAGTCTTAACGTTATTTAGATGTGAGAATCCTTATGATTTAACATTGAGGGACGCTCGGTTATGTAACTACAATTTGTAAGTATAAAATGTGTGTGTGTTCTTCTTGGTCACTACAACAGATCACTCTACTATGTATCTACAATTAGCTAGGATCTAAAACTAATTAATTAATCGAATAAACACCATATCTAGATTAATACTACAAGAAACTACACAATTCAATAGAAAAGTAAATTTAGCTTTCTGTAGTTGATATCAAATTAATAACTGTGAATACATAAAATGATTTTAAGGAAAATTTTATTAAATCATTTTGGCTAAAGAAAGTAGATGAGAAATGGAAAACCCTAAATCGTAACAGTTAATCTTAACCGTTGAATCGTTAACAAGCCCAGACTTCCAAAACATGACCGTTGATTATTTCGTGATCCACTGAATGTTTCGTACACTAGCTCGTAGAGGATAACCACTTCGAGCACTATAACACCATCTATGTGGAGAAACTGTTGAGAAGTCTCTCGATCGAAGCAAGTTAAAAATCTAATCTTTGAGTCACCGTTTTGAGTTCTCTCTTCTCTAGGGTTCTTCTTTCTACAAGCTTCCACTAAACATGAGGTAAACAATAATCCTCTTATGAGATTACTCTTGCTTATTGGAATCTGTACCTCTAATTCTTCCATCTGATGAATCGTGCTTTTGGGATTCACTCGTTTGAGATTCGTTTTGCTTTGTTCACTTCAATTTTTTCATTTTTTTCCTCATGGGTTTGTATTGGAAACTTGGTATCGTTATAGTATCGGTGGATTTAAGGCTACGCTTTCATTGGATTCATGAGGAATGCGAAGAACAAAATTTAGGGTTTTTGATTCGGGTCTAGGGTTTATTGTGTTGAGTCCGGAAGTTCTCTTTGCGTTGTCACTATCGATTGTATATGAATGTTGTTGCATCAATCTCGTTGTTTAAGTTTGAAGCTTTTTGGGAGCAGTTGGATTTAGGGTTTAGGGTTTAAGTCTGTGTTATAAATTTTGAGTCTTTAATCCTGAAGTTGCAAACATGAATTGGTGTTATTGAAGTTTCAGTTTACGGTATAGAAATCAAACGACGGTTACTTACTTTATTGGTGTCTTAGATGTGTATCTATGAATGTTTTGTGTTCCTCTTTTGTTATGTTTGATATGCTTCTGGTTCTGTAAAGTGATTGGTTTTCTTTTATTTTACAGTCGTCATCCCGAAGTGAAGTGGGCCGAGACTACCGAGAAGATTTTCCTCACCATCGTATTAGCGGATGCAAAGGACGCGAAAGTTAATCTAGACCCAGAAGGTGTCCTTGATTTCTCTGCAAAAGCTGGTCCAGAAAACCACGTTTTTGAACTTAAGCTCGAACTCCACGGTAAAGTCAATGTAGAGGTGAGATTCTTAGACTGAATCGGGTCTTATTGTTTTCATTTGTTGCTTGTAGTGCTCTGAATCTTTAACCTTTTTTACCATTTCAGGAAAGCAAAATCAACATTGGAGAGAGAAGCATATTCTGCATAATAGAGAAAGCAGAGCCGGAAAGGTGGGATAAGCTACTCCGAGGTGGAGGCAAACCACCTCACTATGTCAAGATTGATTGGGACAAGTGGGTAGACGAGGACGAGGAGAACAGCGCTGGTTAGCTTCATCCTAAAGCTTATATATCTATTCTTGTGTACTCTCTCAGCACTTTTTATTATGTTTTCGAGGTGTTTAACTTTTTTTGTGCATTTGTTTTGTTTCGATTTAGGTGCTGGAGATATGGATATGGGAGGAATGGGAGGAATGGGAGGAATGGATTTCTCGGTTTGTTTCTAACTTGTGAACGTTGTTTATCTTCTGTTTCATGTATGTCTAGCTTTGTGAAATGACTTCATGATCTATCCTTGCTTCTTGCAGAGCCTCGGTGGCATGGGTGGAATGGGTGGCATGGGTGGACTTGAAGGGCTCGGTGGCATGGGTGGACTTGGCGGCATGGGTGGACTTGGCGGCATGGGTGGAATGGGCGGTATGGGAGGTATGGGTGGAATGGAAGAGTTTGAAGACAGTGATGATGAAGGTAACGGTTTTAAAGATCTTTCTTGTTAATGTTTGGTCACATACTCACATCTCTTGATGAACGGATAGCNCTTCACCGAGTTGAATTAATTTGTTTTTTCAAGTACATCTCATATTGCAGACTGTGTTTTCTCTGTTTGGTCATTAATTGTATAAGTAATGAAATGTTTTATGTACTTGTAGAAGAAACCGCAAAAACTGGTGAGAAGAAAGATGAGTCCGTTAAGGAGGAAGCAGCAAAACCAGAAGAAACAACATCTGTTAAGGAAGACAAGTGAAGACATTGTTCTATGTTATGAAAAAACCATATGGTATTAGGTTTATGAAAAAAACCCTCTCTTTAAATGTTGTTACTCTTTTGCTTTTTATGATGGATTTTCTTTTCAGTTAAAGTATCTACTACTTTTCTTGTGGTTTAGATGAGCTTTCAAAACTTCTGAGACTTGCAATTTTGGCATTGACCTAGAGTTTGTGATCAATCCCATTTTATGTTCTATTGCCAAGAAAAATCCACTGATCTTTTAATAATCTGAGCATACGAATACCACCTTTTTATATTAACCTGGAAAAGTTGAATCAATCTAACTTAATCGAGTTTTGTTGATGCATTTGAAACAATTGTGTAACTATATATAATCATTTTGATACTTGAATTACAAAACCTGACTAAACAACCCAAGTTTGCATCCGGTGATGGATTTCACAAAAAAAATTAACATATATTCCAACAAAATCCTAAGATAAATTGCTTCAATCATTAACACAACCAAGTTCATATCACTAGTCATTATCCAAAAATGAACAAAGGATTCCTGCAAAACCCAAGGCCAAGTTGAAACAGAGTCTCATTTATATGAAAACAACCACATCAATTTCTTGTAACGTAGACCTTAAACATTAACCAGAATTTGAAACACAAACACAAATGATTACATATTTCTACAAAAACATCAATAATAAAGATTCAGATTTTCAGAAAAAGAGACCTTACACGAAGAAGAAGAAGAATTCAAAGAGGTTTCTTTTTCAAGTGTAGAGAGGTAAAGCAGTCCAAGCGCCAGAGACATGTCCATTATCACAAACATAAGCTCTCACAACTGGTTCACCATCATCATGAAACCCAAATACTCTCCTCAAACAAAACGACGAATGCAAATCCCAAGTCTCATCACAGGAACAAAACGCACATTTCAAACCCGTAATCTTACTCCGATGATTCCCATCGTTTATCGTTCTCCAAACTCTAGACTTTTTGAAATCCTTGAAAACGCCTCTGAACAACATGTAGTTACGTTTCTCTTCTACGTGAATGCATCCAGGCCAATTACAAATGTATAGACAATCACCACGAAATCTACTCGCGAGTAGCTTGTTTCCTTGTTCACGGCTAAGATTCCAAGCACCGGAAGCTAAATGAGAACCTAGAGATCGGCAAATCTTCCTTCGTTTCCTTACCGGAAGATCTCGTCCAGGTCTGATCTTCTCACCACCACTAGCTTCGATCTCTTCTTCTTGTTCGTCGACTGAATCTTCGGTGGGAGGAGCGGAGAGAGTATCAGTGTATAGATCGTCGTAGAGTGACCAAAACGAAGACGTTTCTAAACCAGATCCGATTGGTTTCGAAACTTCTTCTTCGTCGTCGTTACGAGCCGGATCCGTCGATGTATGTAAGCTTTGATCGGGCCCAAGCTCACGTTCTAGACCGAAATCGGAGTTTTCGAGGAGAATTCCGGCGTGGAAGAGACCAGGACAACAGACGGCGAGTTTATAAAGAGAAGCCCAACCACCAGGAGGAGGAAGAGACGAATCCGCGGCGGTTGAAGATGATGAAGCGGAGGCGGATGTGGCGGAGGGAGAAGGGAGGAGATCGGAGATGACGGTGGGGATTGCGGAGTAGCACTGTGCTTTACAGCAAACGTTTCGTACAATCGAGGAGAATTTGGTGCAGACGCAAGCGAGACGAGCCCAGGTTCTTGGATCGTCTTGGAGCTTGAAGAAGATGTTGAATACTACGTCTTCTGGTACAAGTGAGAATCCAGATTCCGCCATGGATCCTTCGCTCTCTCAACCTCGACCTCTGAATATTAATGGCGGCCCTTTCTTATCCAATCTTCACTTCTCTTAGTTTAACTTTTATGGATTAGATTTATAAACCGATCTTGTTTTAAATAAACCGGTATGATTAAAAATACAAACCCCTCCGGTTTTGAGTAAACATTAGAAATGGTAAACGGTTTCTTCGCTTAGTTTTACTTTTATGGATTAAACGATCACACATTCACACAAGTTAGTACTGCGTAACACTAGGCTATAGAAACGACATCTTTTTAGAGAATCTTGAACACATTTTGTTGCAGTGAATAGTTTAAATAAACAAAAAAGAGTTGAGATCTTTGGTAAGTAGCCAGAAATACAAACTTGTTCTCATTCTTGTTTTAGTCAAACGAGCAACCATAAGATATGAGATTTTTTCAGCAGCAGTCTTCCAGCACAACGCAGCTTTTTTACCTGATATGAGATTATTTTTACCTGTAAACAAACAGTAGAGAGTGAATCAGACAACGAAACCAGAAAGACTCCAAACAAGTGAAAGAGAGTTGCTGTGTAGTGTGCACTACCGAGATGGA